ATAGACCAGGGTTACGGAGCGTTTCTGCTGTGTCTTGAATGTACGGGGAGGTCTTCCCAAAGTTCATGGAAACTACGTATCAGGACAAAGCTTTGCGTGGATTCAGATGTTTTGCACTACAGTAAACTCGTCCTTTCATCCCGTTTTCCCCTGAGCTGTTCGCGTCCCCTTGTCTAACCTGTTGGACACCTGAGTCGGTCGGCTGTGCACGTTTCTCAGCCTGACGAGACCACGCTCTGCAGTGAGCCTTTCCGAGCGGCACGGACGTCTCGGGAACGGTTCCTGGCAGTAAGATGGCTTATGTGTCCCTGGGCTTGCTTCTTGATGCAGCCTATCCCTACCTGATTGGAGAGTTTGAAGCCGGGCTTCTGGGGTGCCAGACACCCAGATGGATGGCAGGAGGAGATGTTGTTTGCTGAGCATTAAGGGTCTGGCCATCTGCGGTGATCTTTGCAAGGAGAAAGCACATCTGGCTTTAAAGTCAGACGCTCATGTGTGCACACCTTGGCCGTGGGATGCCAGGTGGTTTGACTCTTGAGCTGAACGGTGAGATTTCTCCCCAGCTGTGTCGGCGAGGCTGCGGTGCAGGTGAAGCCACAGGGAGCGCCTCACTGGGACAGTCTATGTTCTCCTCTCTGCCTGTAAGACTGAGAGGGGAGAGGTGGGGCTCCTGAGCTTTCTGGAGGGTGACTTTAGCCTTTGGATGACTCAGTTGCCAGGACTGACTGGCCAGCTCTGGGCAGGACGAGTGAGTCATCGTCCTGCCCAGCAGGGTAGGGCACACAGGCTCGCGCTGTGCTGGAATGGGTATAACCCTCGTGTGGACCTGCGTAGGGTGCACTGGTCCTGGACACAGCACAGGGTGCCCTCTTAGACTCAAGGTTCGGAGGAGCTGGCCCTTGGTGACCCAGGAGACACTGCGCCCAACACTGTGGCAGACACCTGAGAGTGTTGGGCTCAGCTCAGCCGGCTTGCGTGGGGGCATCTCGGCACCAGCATCTGGGACTGGTTTGCAGACTGCACCGGCCAGGGCAGTCTCACAGCTGAAGTGAGGCAGCAGCTGTATTCACCGGAAGGCCCTAGAACACTCCAATGTGGCTTTAGTTGAGAAAAAGAAAACTCAGTATCAGAGAATTCAAATAATCTGTTGGATTTTGCAGTGGCAAAATATTGTTATTATTAAGGGTCCAAATTAAAGATGAGATGCCTCTCATATCAGATAATTGCTTTTTACCCGTGCTTGTTTGTTTTTTGTTTTGTTTTGTTTTGTTTTTGTTTTTACTTTTTACAATAGATTGCATGTATTCCCCAGAGAAAGAGAGAGAAAGTGAGAAATCACTCATTCCCCAGAGAGAAAGAGAGAGAGAAAGTGAGAAATCACTTCCCGAGGATGTCCATGCCACAGCCCCCTCCCCTCTCCTCTGCTTTCGGGATTTTGGGCAGATGTCCATGCCACAGCCCCCCCCCTCTCCTCTGCTTTCGGGATTTTGGGCAGGCATGCACACACGCCTGGTGTGATCCTTGAGCTGCAGCATTCAAGACTTGAACCATGAAGCGTGTGGGATCCAGTGTTCCACTTGCTGGCCCCTACCCTCCTCTTTTTAAAACAGTTTAAAAATATTTTTGTTTTCCAGAGGGCGTGTACGTACCCGGGAGAAAGGAGAGGGAGAAAGCGTCCCGGTGAGACACACCGCTGTCCCTTCTCCATTCCTCCTCCTGCTGGGATTTGGGGCATACACGCACACACGCCTGGTGTGTTTTCAAGCGCCCGGGGCCAGGGTTTAAACTGCACAGTTGCTCCTGTAAGATCTGGCTCCCATGACCCCTAGGCCGTGGGCTGGCCTCTCCTTTTACATGTCTACAGGAATGCACCTGGTGCTACTAGAGGAGCGTTTCTAAAGACAGCATATGCTGCTTTCATAACCCCCGTCTGCCTGAAGCCAGCTGTGCAGAAAACCCTCGTGTGCTTTCCCGACGGCTTTAGATCACAGGTTGTAGCCAAGACATGATTTGAAACGTTCTCCTTAGCAGAAGTTCTGAATAAGCTAACGTCCCAAGATAAACAGAGGCAGTGGGCAGGCTTCATTAGACCCTAAAGAGAGAGTTTCGTGTGGATCCTTGTGCGTGTTCCTGTCAGAAGTGTACGCTTGGGGGTGGATTTGAAACTGTTTCACCGTGTCAGAATCACACTGTCAGTCTGCGTCCACTGAGCCTGGCTCCCCTTTATGGATGGAAAGTGCTCGAGGGTGCTGTGCCCGGACTTGTCCACCACGCTGAGTATCAGAGGACTTGAGTTCTAGGTGTGCGCACAGCTCCGTGGCCTCAGGGCTGGCAGAGAAGTAGCTCAGGCCTTGGGCTGTCTGTCAGTGTCCTGAACGTCTCTCCCAGCCTCCAGCTCAGGAGACACTGGGGTGGGTAAAGGCCACTGGATGTGGTGTTTTAAAGGCCAGAGTGAATGCCTAACTCTAAAGCCTATTAAGGAGAACCTTCCCCATTCCTGAGACACTTAACCCTTTGCAAATGTGGAAATTCTCTCTCCTGGAAGGTTGTTGGGGGGATTGACCCTCACTTGTGGGAGCATGCAGAGCAGGTCTGGATGGGGCAACCCAGACAGTGCTCAGACTCTTAAGCCTTGGCCCCGGAAGTCCTGCCTCCAGGCAAATTCGCTTTTCAGCTAGGAATTGAAGAACAGGCGCAGCTGCTGTGCCTCGTGGCCAGTGGTGGGTTGGGGAATCTAGGTTGGCCCGAAAACCCACAGGGTGTAAATGCCCCAGATCCCGAGGAGCTTGTGGTCTGGGAACGGGGGACTGGGGTGCAGTGAGACCTGCTCAGGGGTGCTACACTTGTGCGTGCACATGCCTGCATTCTCCACCCTAAGTTTTGTAAAAATACAACTTACGTCTCAGGTTGCCCCTGAAAGCACTAGTATGTGGAGGTAGTGTAGGAGGAGGGCATGGTTGCCCAAACCTCTGCCATGGTGGGGAGGCTTCCTTCGGCCAGAGCATGGACAGGTCACAGTGTTAGTGTGAAAATAAGAACCCTTGGTCGAGACCTGCATCCGGGTACCCACTTGACATGATCCAAAGTCTGAAACTCGAAAATGGACGGTTGCACACCTGACCTCACTTGATAGGTCACAACCCAGATACTCCAGTGCAAACGTATCGTGTCAAACTACCTTCCAGCTCTGAGTGTAGGTATATGTAAAACGTTAATGAAGTTTGAGTGTAGACCTGGGTTCTATCCTGAAGATATCTTACAGTGTATATGCAAGTATTCAAAAATCCAAAAAAAAAAAATCCAAAATGCAAAACACTTCCATCGGCAGGCTTTTCAGATAAAGGATACCCACCCTGGACTTAATTTTTGGAGGAGTTGTTTTATCATGAACAGTCCTGCAGTGAGAAGAGCATAATCTGCCTATCACACATTAAACCTCTTACCCAAGTCTAGTATTCCCGTTGTTTTTGGTCGTCACTTTTTCCTGGTGTTAAATCATCTATTTAAGAAAATCATTCTGCCTCTAAAATAATGCTAGAGAATGCATAAAGAGGAATTAATTTTTAAATCAAGATTTATGCACTTGCCTTATAACATTTTTATGATAGCCCTATTTGAATTATCTTTTCTATTAGACTAAAATAGAATTCGATTTTTCTGTGGGGTATTTAACATTTTGGGTCATAGTCATTGCTAGGGATGAATTAATAGATCTTCTCCAAGTGAACTGTCAAGACGGATCCCCTCTAGGTTTGAAATGTAATTAAAAATGCCAGCAAACTTGCTCAGAAGTCCGCCGAGTGCTTCAGGGCCCCTGGAATGTTAGTCGGAAGCAGAAACTATCTACCAAGTACAGTGAACGCTGCAGCAGCCAGTATGGCAGGAGGGAGCTCAAGTCACCTTTGCCAGGCTCCTCCGGCCTCCCTTTCCTACAGCTGTGGAGAGTTGTTCTCAGATCTCCCAGGGGAGAGGGGGATGCTTTTGGCCCAAGGCTGTGGGGCCAGTCGGTGGCTCCCGTCAATAAAGAGCAGATGACAGGCCAGCAGGTGGAGTGAAGGTTAAGGTACTAGATCCCACAAGGCCCAGTCCATGGTTTGACTCCTGGACCCAGCAGCTTGAAAATCATGTGGGGCATGTGTGTGTGCATGCCCAAAATCCCGAGAGGAGACTGGAGGAGAAGGGATTGCAGTGTGGCCATCTCCCTGGGGTGGGGGGGGGGATTTCTCACTTTCCTTCTCTCTGCCTTTCTGTCTTTCTCTGGTGCATGCAAATGCTCTATAATGAAAAATATAAATACATAAATAAATAAAAATACGGGAGTCTGATAGGGGCGTAGTACTGAGACGTGTTCCTCTGTGAGGCCGACGTACGTGGGAAGGTTCCTAGTTTGCTAATGGAAGTCTCCACGTGTACCCGGCGTGCAGGTGCCATGATCGGGGTAGCTGAAGCTGGGGGAGGGGTGTGGTGTTAGGGCCCATGGGGCTCTCTCTCCCATTCATAGATGTAATCAGTAAGTAAACTTTGAAAAACAAGAAACCTCCAAGGGAGGGGTGAGTCCCTAAACATATCCACGCCCTCTGGCAGGTTCCTCCCCAACTAGGCTCCCTGGCTCATCTCCTGTCCCTTTGCCAACTCCCCTGTTGTGTTCTGGCAGGCTTTGAGAAGTATGGGTAGAGGCACTGGGGGTGAAGGGTGGCAGGGAACTTGGGACGTTCTGTTGATTATTGATTATTGATATCTGTCCTCACCCTCTCCGTCACTTCCCTCACACGGGTGTGGGTGGCTCTCCTGGGCCTCTGAGTCAGCGCCCATGAGGGACTGGACGGTGGGAAGGGTTCGAACATTCTTTTTTGGTAGGCTCTTTGGACACAGAGCAGCTTTTTTTCTAGCGTATATTAAAAGTGTTGCTTTTGGGCAAATAAATAACCAATTCTTTTTAAAAGTCATTCAACTTAAAATCACAAGCAGGCACCTAAATATCTGCTTCTATTTCCTTTTAGATTTCCTATGTCCCTTTCATACAAGCGATGACCCAGATCATTCTCGGCTGAGAGTGGAGTTGGACTTGAGAATTCGGAGAATTCCCAGAGCTCTGTAACTTCAGAGGTGTGATCAGCCGAACAGTTCGTCTTTTAGAAGAGCTCTGTGTCTCGCCGGTCACCTTGTAACTGCGTGCCAAAGGTCAGTCTACCGTCTTCTTCCCAAGACAAGCAGTTGCTGCTTAGGCCTCAGATGCTTCATGTGCACAGTAGGTTTTGAAACTAGTCAAGTGGCCGTAAATGTATCCCTGGTAGTTGAACCATATTCAACGGAAGCTTCCCAAGGAGCTGGTTCAAAACTTAGATTACTCCTGCTCCTGCTTCAGCGTGGGATGGTTTGAGAGTGTGGGTGGACACAGGGTGCCTGAAGTCATCTCTCAGCACAGGGGGACCGAGGTAAACAGGAATCGCTGTCAAGGTGCTTTCGGTCTAGTGAAGGTTTGATTTCAGCCTTGCCTTTGAGAAGGTCAATCTCCACCTGAAGAGATGCATGGTAACACAGAGCTCTGCGGTGCTGACGCCACACGGAGGTCCTGGGTTCGCGTCCTCAGGTCTCCCTGGCACATCTTGTGTGTGCCTCTGATTCTGGATGGATGGGGGTGGATCATGGCATGGAGACCTTCTTGGGGTGCTTCTTGCTCTGTGTCTTTGTATGTGCATGCCCCAAATCCCGAGGGAAGAATAGAGGAGAAGGGATTATGGCGTGGCCATCCTCCCCGGGATAGTGATTTCTCAATCCTCCCACCCCTTCAGGGAGTACATGTACCCTATGGCAAAACAAAACACAACACAATACAAACCTAAAACAAAAAAGATAAATAGGAAATGTAAAAACGAAAAGAGATGTAAAGAGATGGAAAGATTTTACCGGTTTGTGTGGGAAACCTGCTCATGCGTGTTAGAATAAAATCCTAACATACCACTTGAATTCTGGAGCTGGGGGTCCTTTAAAACCAGACACTGGACACAAACATGTTGGTGTGTAACAAAAATATTCCTTAGCTTGACCAAGCAGTTCAGGACATTTGATTTCGAATAGGAGCCCTGTTTGCTGGCCCAGTTAACCTGGCGTTCCGCCTGCAGCCATGGCAGGAGCTACGGTAGGAGAAGCTGTGCTTTTTCCAGAGTGCCGCCGCAGGATCGGCCGCAAGGACACTCTGTACGCTGGCTCTCCTGGAGACCGTGTTCTGCTTCTGCCGTTACAAGCCGTTTTGAAGTGTTCTCGAGTCTGTAATTCAGACTACAGAATCTCTTGGTATAATGCTTTCTAGAAACTTACCAGTTAAATATAAATTAGGATTTCTGGGCCAGCAGGTGTTGTGGAGATGAAGGTGTGGGACTCCCACATGGCCGATTCCATGGTTCAAGTCCTAGACCCAGGGGCTTGAAAATCATACCAGGCACATGTGTACATGCTCAAGATATTTTTTTTTTTGAGAGGTTTTTGCTATAGGGCGCATGCGCTCGCCAGAAAGACAGAGGCAGAGACAGAAGGCGAAAAATCACCCCCCGGAGGCAGTGGGGATGGTCACGCCACAATCCCTTCTCCTCCATTCTCCTCTCGGATCTTGGGCACGCACGCACATGCGCCCGGTGTGAGTTTAAGCCACTGGGTCTGGGACGTGAACCACGGTCGGCTACATGAGAGTCCAGCGACATAGCCATTACACCAACTGCTGGTCCCACATGCTCAAGATTTTGAGAGGAGAATGAAGGTGAAGGGATTGCAGTGTGGCCACCCCACCTAGGGGGTGATTTCTCACTTTCCCTTTCCCTCTGCCTCTGTTTATCGCTGATGAGCACATGTACCCAATAGCAAAAAGTACAAATAAAAATTTCCTTTGACTCGCTCTGAAACTACTACTCAAAAACTTTGGGGATGTGTTCTGTCTCCACCACTGTTTTTCTAAGTCCTTGCCTCTCTCCTTCCTTCCGTGGGAGAGAGACAAGCACCCTCAACAGAGTGTCACACCACGGTCCCCAGCCTTTCCCGGACAGCCAGGAGTGTGGGCGCGTGCCCTGGCGTGTACAGGTCCATCTGGAACCGAGCCCAGTCCTCCACGTGGCTTCCAGCACTGCACAGTGTGGCGTCGTCGCTGCACCGCTACAACTGGGCCTCCTTTTTGTTCTGTTTTGAATCTTTCTGAACCTTCTTCATTTCACCTCTGCCCTTTTCCATGTGGGATATTCAGAGTGGCATGAAATTAGCATATGCATTTCCTAAGGGTAGGGTATGTGCTAGTGTTTTCACCTTTGCCTTTATGATTGCTTCTGAGACACACAACTTGTCCTGTCTGTTTAGGTGCAGTTTGTGGTGACTCCCAGACCCAGGTTCTGTTTCGAACCAGAGCTTGTGCCATCTCATGGCACCTGATGCTGTGTCCTCCTTCCTCACCTCTGACCCTGTACTCCCAGGGCACTGCCAGGTCCTCTCCTGCACTCCCAGAGCACTGCCAGGTCCTCTCCTGCACTCCCAGGACACTGCCGACTCCTCTCCTGCACTCCCAGGGCACTGCCAGGTCCTCTCCTGCACTCCCAGAGCACTGCCAGGTCCTCTCCTGCACTCCCAGGACACTGCCGACTCCTCTCCTGCACTCCCAGGGCACTGCCAGGTCCTCTCCTGCACTCCCAGGGCACTGCCAGGTCCTCTCCTGCACTCCCGGGCCACTGCCAGGTCCTCTCCTGCACTCCCAGGGCACTGCCAGGTCCTCTCCTGCACTCCCGGGGCACTGCCAGGTCCGCTCCTGCACTCCCGGGGCACTGCCAGGTCCTCTCCTGCACTCCCGGGACACTGCCGGCTCCTCTCCTGAACTCCCGGGGCACTGCCGGCTCCTCTCCTGCACTCCCGGGGCACTGCCGGCTCCTCTCCTGCACTCCCGGGGCACTGCCGGGTCCTCTCCTGCACTCCCAGGGCACTGCCGGCTCCTCTTCTGCACTCCCAGGGCACTGCCAGCTCTCCTGCACTCCCAGGGCACTGCCAGGTTCTCTCCTGCACTCCCAGGGTACTGCCAGATCTCCCAGACTGCAGGCACCCTTGGGTGTTTCCCTCCCAGTCTGCAGAGATTTCCATTACATAAAAAAAACTTTGCAGATCCCTAGTGACTCAGTGTTTTAAAAATAGTCACCGAAGTGGAACCTTTCAAGACTTAATCTTTTGTAAATGCGGTCACCTATCAGTCCGTTTGTCAGGTTTCAAAGGAACGTAAGCCAGAAATGACAGATCCTCAGAGCCAACCATCAGAACGCATTTTACTTCCTTGGTAACAGTCCAACACCAAGTAGTACTTCTCCTTCACAAGTTCATGAAGTCCACACAGAAGCCCAGGCTCGCTTATTACAGTTCACCTTGTGGTTTAGACAATGAGTGATGGGGGACCAGCAGTTAGCGTAATGGCTATGTCGCTGGACTCCCATGTAATCGACTGTGGTTCGAGTCCCGGATCTGGGGACTTAAACTCACTCCAGGCGCGTGTGCGTGCATGCCCAAGACCCCAAGAGGAGAATGGAGGAGAAGGGATTATGGCGTGGCCATCCCCCCTGGGGGGTGATTTCTCGCTTTCTGTCTCTCTATCTCTCTCTCTCTGATGAGCGCACACGCCCTATAGCAAAAATCTCTTCAAAAAAAAAAAAAAGAAAAAAGAAAATTTGGGCTGGGGAGTCCCCAGCCATAGCTGTTCATGGAGTATTTATCGCGAGCACCAGCTGGGCTCTGGGCCGGCTCCCTGGCAGTGACCGCTAAGCCCTGTTCATGCAGCTACAGAAGCAGATAAAATGGAGTTCAGAGACCCCTTTCTCCCACCCTGTGGGAGGGGGCTGGGCCACGGAAGGGTTAACGGCTGTGGTGGAGATGTTTCTAGCTGGCCCTGGTGCTCAGGCAGGGTTGGGCTGCCCTGGGGGAGGAGTCTGGAGGAGCCAGGGCCTGTTAGGTTTGCAAGAAGTGTTAAAGAACGAGGAGATGTGTGTGCAGACTCGTGGGTCTGCTCGGCCCTTGGCGGCTGGGGGGCCAGCTGGGCAGTGGGTGCTGACACTCGAGTCATGTAAGCAGTAAGGGCAGGGACTGTCGCACGGTGTCCTGCAGAGCCGTAGCTGGGTCAGCCCCGTCATGTTTGGTGCATCAGAAAGAAACGAAAGCTGGGCTGGCCTGGCGGGAAGGGAAAGGAGGCGGGACGCCAGCTTCATGCATTTCCCGGTTATTAGGCACCCAGCGTTCACACCGTGCCAACCAGAGCTGTGGCCGGGGCTAGGCTGAGAGCTGTGTGTGTGGGCTGTCCGAGCTGCTCTGCAGAGGCCGAGTGGGGCCGCCGAGCCCGGGTGGTCAGGGGGCACGTCCCCTCCTGTCCTCTCATCACCCAGCGAGGTCGAGGCGCGGTCTGAGAACTGAGACTGGGACATGGGTGCGTGATGGCAGACCCCCTCCTTTCCCACCAGAACTGCTATTTTGACAGATGTGTGACCCGCACTTACACCTTCCTAGACAGACTCAGAAGTGCCTGCAGTTGGCTGTACCTGCAGCGGGCGGGTCGCGCTGCGGATGGGGCGCAAAGGGCCCTGCGTGCTGCACCGTGGGCTTTGTCTTCCCAGGAGCTCTCAGTAGCTGCTTCGGGAGAGAGGTGTCCCGAGGTGGAAGGGTGCTGGTGCCCTGGGGGAGGAGAGGTGACGGCTTAGCGGACAAGATCGAGGACTTAGTAAAGTAGGGGAGGCCCAGATGTGGCTGGTGTGAACACTCGGGGGCAACATCGGCGAGGGTCCCGTGTGTCCGCTGCGCCATGGAAGCGGCTTGGCTTCGTGTCATAATCGATGAGCAGGAAGGAAGGACAGGTTAGTCTGGCCTGGCTGTCATTCTGCCATTCATAAAATCGCCATCCCATCCCCTAATGTGTTTGTGGTAAAGAAGAGTTTTATTACTTATCTTCATGCTTAGCTTTAACTAATTAATTAGTTGCCAAAGGGTGCATGTACTGGCCGGAGAGGGAGAGGGAGAGAGCGTCCCGTGGAGGGCACGGTCATGCTGTCCTCCCCGGCTGTCCATCTTGTCGGCACCTGGGGTGTACGTACACGCCCCCTGTGTGGTTATGAGGCCATCACGGCCAGGACTGGCGCCGCAGTTAGCCACCTACCCCACCTCAGTTCGTGTAAGAACAG